CCCCCCCCAATAATTTTCCGACATTTTGAATTTTCTTAAATAAAGAAGCGAAGAGCCTCCTTATGAAATTTCACCATATATATTCTATAAAGCTTGTGTAAAAACTGAGCGTGAACAATTAAAATTGAAGCTGTTTTTGGGAAGTCTTTGTGATTTATTGATAATCGCTGACCGTGTGTGCGGTAAAAAGTGATAACGCCTCAAAACGCTGGAAATGACATTTCCGAGAGTTAAGATTTCAAAAATTTCCGAACCCCCCTAATACCTCCTTGCCGCTAGCCCCCCCAAACAAATTCACACTCCGCGGTCCCTGTTCTTCCTTATTTAACAGAAATATAGGTGTTCTAGTCATGTTAGATTTTTATCGTGGTAATTTGTTGTTGTATTTTAAAATATTTGCGAGCCGCGTTTGTTAAATTTTAGAAACAAGATGAATACTCGAACAGTGGCGTCGAACAGACGATCGCAGGTTCGAATCTCGTCTCAAGCACTTTTTCTTTCTTTCTTTTCTTTTCAAATATAATATAGTTGTTATAGTCCATCTTGATTTTGTGTAGATTTTGTTTAATGATTATTAACTCCACCAATAACAGACACTAATGCAAGAAAAATGGACTGATTATATATCGTTTCAAATGCTTTAATTAGTACAAAATCGTTATTCATTCATTACTCTGGTGTCTCAGTTACATACAAACACAATTGCGTGTATGGGTTTCCACATGATCCACAGGAATCCCATCAAACACAGATGGCGGCAATGGTTTCGTTTGATTCCTCCCAGGCATTTGTAAACTGCAAAAATTGATTACCCGCTTATAAGAATAGAAAATGACAGCAACTGTGTTTCCTTGGAAACAAACGTCGTCTWGCTCGTCGTCAAACGTAACCGCTGTCAACACTTTAGCGCTGGCTCGATCTATAGCGACCACTGTATTCTTTGACTTGATGGCGATAATTTCTTCACAAGAAAGAACGGTTATCCCTCGATTTCTGACCAGCATATACGGCAGGCTCACCTCATGCAAACGATYTCCAGTTTCCATATCCCATATTTGGAGTTTTTGATGCTTTCGACGCTTGATCATGGTGATCATGACCACGTGATAGGAGTCGCAGGAAATCATAAATCCCCATTCTTCATCAGAACCAACTTGAATTTCGTGTTCGACCTTGGCCTCTGATAGGTTCCATATAAGGTATTGGTTATCGTGTCTGATAAGCAGGTACTTGCCATCGTAAGATATCCCCCAATACTTTTCATTAAACTCAGGAGGTGCTTCTCCTTCAAAAATAAAAGACAATTGTGAAAACAAGAAAATGTTGTGACCTAGCTGARGCCTCGCTTTGATTCTGCAGAACCAACATCTCGGGAAAGGCGACACTGGTGAAAAAAAAAACGCACTGCGCAAGTCCACAGCTTTCCCGCTGAAATTTGCCTAATAGTCTCCTTCACGGTTACCTGCGCCATGTTGAGAGGTAGCCGTGCCTTTGCATCGAAGCGAGACGACCGTTGAGCGTGCAATGATAGAAACCTTCTTTCACACCTACAGACAATTATTCACAGGTATCTATCATTGCACGCTCAACGGTTGTCTCGCTTTGATGCAAAGGCACGGCTATATCTTTCAACATGGCGCAGGTAACCGTCAAGGAGACTATTTCCTTTCTAAAGCGATTTTTGTGAAAGTTTTTTACAATTTATAAGCTCGTTCACCGATATATAAGATTCATATTTCCATCAATCATTGTTCATGATAGGTCCGTTTAGTATGTAGTTTCTATTTTTATCTTGTCATTTCTATTTTGAGAAAATGAGGTTTTTCGTAGTGTTTTCTGTGTTGTCGCTGTAAATCGCCAGGCGCTCTGTTTACAGATTTCAAGACGCGAGCGCCCACTGGCGGGAAAGCTGTGGGCATGCGCAGTGCGTTTTTCACCAGTGTCGGGAAAGRCCCATTTCTTACCGATGACTCGATAGGTCGTGAATGGTGTATTTACAACAACCAAATTATAGATGTCTCCATGTAGGTTGTACAAGACCTTCATTCGAAGAACTGCTGTTGACCCATCGTAGCTGAGCAGACCGTTGTAGCAATAAAATTGATCATCAAATGRCAAACAGTCTTCACTTTCTCCTGTACGAAGATCAATCATCTGAAGAATCCTGGATTAGCATATTTATGATCTTTATAGGAATCTCTCGTGAATATTAGGAAAAAGATGGAAGCAGGAGGGAGGGGAGGGCAGGGACAAAGGAAGCATTAAAGGGACACTGTCAATGGATGACATGCGCAGTAACAGTCTCACCTCTAACGGACTTTGAAAGTATTACCTTCGAGGTAAATCATTTTGTGGTGCTTTTGACACACTTTGGAATATTCTAGATCTGTTTACGTTTACGATCTGATTTAATGTCGCGCCAACTTGGAGTTATAAACTTGAAAACACTAGCCTAATGTTTTCCAATCTCGTACCCAGAGCCGCCGTTCCTCTTGGTCAGCGCCGAGAAACGAGGGAGCCCTCGTTTCTCGGCGCGCCAACTTGGAGTCATAAACTTGAAAACACTAGCCTAATGTTTTCAAGTTTACTCGCGCATGCGTGCCATTGACAGTGTCCCTTTAAAGGAATGAAGCCAGAAACCAAACAGAAACCAAATACCCGAAACCGAGTGCCTTCACTTTTGTGCTCCAAACCACTGAAAAAGACAGAACTACTCTAGGCTCCAGTCGTTGCGAAAGTAATACGCCCTTTTCCAGTTCAAAGCGAACATCCRCTGATTTAGTTGACAACAGTCTCTCATACGCAGAGACCTGACCAAAAACATTCTCGAGAGATTTGATCTCGTCACGTGATTTTCCATCGTCGGCAATCACGTGGTTATCTTGAAAGCAAATTAGATGATAAATGCTTTAAAGAACGGCYATATTCTATGTTATGTGGCAATTCGGAATGGCAAAACATAGAGGATAAAACATGGAGCATACAAACGAAGAAAAAAACTGCTTTCTCGTTATTTTTTATGTTATTTTTTATAATTTTTTCTTGTTCTGTTTCATATACTAAAAGTTAAAAGAGTGACTAGTGTGTAACGAATATTGATTTTTGAATACATTTTGTAATTTGTTACAGCCTGGACTCTTGAATTCTCATTTAGGACGTGCCGTTACTATACCGAACGCTAGCTGGTGTTTAAACGCGTGGAATTATCTGGTTGCTTATTAATTATAAGTGTACCCTTGTACAGAAATATACAGAAACGGGAAAGTGCGACAGCTAAAGGCGCATCAGAACTTGATTATTAAGTCATTTACCTTCAGTGAAGTTGATGTAAGTCCTTTAACCTCCATTTTGTGTGCTAAACTCTTTAGAGTTGAAAATTCCTATTTATTTATATGCATCCCAAGAAACGGATATCTACTTGCAATGCGTTTACGATTGAGAACACGTCCCCAGGACAACTGGTTCTTTGAAGCCTAGAATTTTTCTGCACGTCTTCGTCTTCAGCAGGCGACGTAATGGCATCTAGGAGTGATCGCCCCTCGTGGATATATCTCAATTATTGTTGTAAAGTGAAATGTTCGAATCTCTCGGGAGTAAGATAGAAAGCCTCAAATGCACTCAATAAACTTTTTTAGCGATCTCTTTTACGCTGTGTTAGCCTCAAAACCATGTAATAGATTCCTTTATTCGCAAAAGCACGTGCAAATGCAAGAGATTCGTGAGTGTAGAAAACAATTAARATATTGAGCGCATTTGAGGTTTTCCGCTTACTCCCGTGAGATTTGAACATTTCAGTTTACATTGAGATAGATAGCCACGAGGGGCGATGACTACTAGATGCCATTTCGTCGCTTGCTGGTGAAGAAGACACGCAGAACAATTCTACGCTTTGCAAAGAACCAGTTATCGTAGGGACGTGCTCTCAACCGTAAATGCTCGTTGCAAGTAGATACAGTTCTTGGGATGCATATAAATAAATAGGAATTTTCAACTCTAAAGAGTTTGGCACACAAAATGGAGGTTGAAGGACTTACATCAACTTCACTGAAGGTAAATGACTTTATTTATAAATTAACTTCTGATGCGCCTTTAGCTGTCGCACTTTTCCGTTTCTGTCTGTTTCTGCACAAGCAGCCAGATAATTCCAAAGAAAAGATTCTTGTCTTGTTTACTAAGACAGCGGTCGCTCGCATTGAACGGAAAAAAGGCTTATTATTTTATATATAAGCTCGAATGAATTCTCTCGTTGTATCCTTTTATAGTTTTCAAAATCATTGATTCTGTATCCCTCTTAGACTAATGCCATTTAAACGTTTCTACGTTATTCTAACTTCCTAGAGAATTAACAAGATTGCAAATTGCATTTTGGGAAGATTAGTGAACGACTCATTTGAACCTATAACATAGAAAATGGAAGTTTTACTTAAATCATTTATCATTTAATTTGTTTGCTTTATCAGGATAGCCACGTGATTGCCGAAGATGGAAAATCACGTGAAGAGAGCAAATCTCTCGAGAATGGATGTCACAATGGCACTGTTGAGACTACTTCCAATGGTTACCACACAATAAACGGCACAGGAACCCCACACGAAAAAMCAAACAAACATGATGACCTCACTATAGACCAGATACATGATGACGTCACCAGGGAACCAAAAATCCAAAATGACGTCACTAAAGATSATGACGCAAAACGTGAGGATGGTGCTTCTGAAAATGACATCATCGACGATGCCCTAACACTAAGTGACATCATCATTGATGACGTCACAAGTGATCACGTTACCAAGGAGATAATTATCACTAAAGCCCTCCATGGCGATATTGACGTCATATATCCAGAAAATGTCCGAGAAGTCAGAGTGTTCATGAGTTCTACTTTCACAGGTATGACGTTTTACATATCGTTTCATGTTTTGAATCGACTTCCTGTGGACTGTCCTGTTGGACCAGTGTTAAATCCCTATCTATAGACCACTTACAGCTCATGGGAATGCAGCTCCAACTGACGTCAAAACAATAAATTCAATAGTGTGTTCTCAAAATGGCGAAAATCTTTTTCTTTGTCCTCCAGATGAAACTGTTTTGACGTTATATGCAATATAAGGGGCATGTAATGTGTCAAATCACCGGCCCTCCCCAGGGTGTGGGGACTGGGGGTTCAAATGAGTGATGCATAAGGCAGTAACGACGTCCCAGAATGATCAGCCCGCATTGACGAGCTATAGATTACACTGTAAAAACATATAAATTGCGCGATTTTTTCCAGTGCTGTGCTGTGTGAGCCGCAGTCTTACATGCGCCAGTCACTAATGTTTACATACACTGAGAATAATTCTTTTTTTCTTATATTTTGTGTGTTAATCCAGACACATTTGTTGAGCGCAATACACTGATGGTGAAAGTTTACCCTCGTATCAAGACCTTCTGCCAAGAGAGAGGCTATGACTTCCAGATTGTTGACATGCGATGGGGAGTTCGAGACGAGGCTACTGACGATCACATGACCTCAGAGCTTTGTATGAAAGAACTGGAAGTGTGTCAGAAGCTGTCAACTGGACCAAACTTTGTGGTAAGATGATAGTTTGCTACTGTGAATTTTAAAGGTTGTATCAAGTTCATTGTAGCACGCGTCGGCGCGTTTCCCTCAATATCCCACATTACTGCCTTGCAAAAGCAACAACAACAGCAACAGCAGCAACAACAACAACAGCAACAACTACATCAACAACAGCAACAATAAAACCAACAACAGCAACAACAAAAAGCCAGCAGAAACAAGAATTAGAATGACAGCAAATTTAATGGTTGGGATATAGAACATGATAGAAGAGCACGAGAACAACACTCTCATGTAATACTTGTTTGTTTGTTTGTTTTGTTTCATTCATGGGATAAAGCGCCCAGGCCATCCCCTCCTCAAGATCACGCGAAGAGTGTTTTTTGTTACTAGACCCATGATATGCTGAGTTGTTATTTTTGTTGCAGTYTTTCTTGTTGCACAGTTGGCTCCATCGCCGAAACTAAAGCCCAGATCTTTCAATCGGCTTAGCGACCACCAAGTTTTCCTTTCTTCCCCATCACKCAACACCTCTCTTAAGYGGCTYGACACATCCTTCGTATTTAAAGTAATGTGTCCAATAGGCTTAGCTTGTCCTGCGAGATGATCTGCCGCTTCGTTGTATGTGATTCCGGCGTGGCCTGGAATATATGTGATTAATAGAGACGGTGTTGATGAGTTTTTTTTCGAAAAGAAACCTAAAAAAGATTATAATATAAAAGAGCGCGGCGATGAGCGCTTTCTCCTTTTATTGTTTTCAAACTGCTGTTTTTGATCTCTTGTAAAGTGATTTTGCTTTATTTTTGTGTAAAAGCACACAATGATTTCGTATCTTTTACTAGACACTACTTGGTCAAAAGTACGGCTACCGTCCTTTCCCGCCAAAAATACCCGCAGACGAGTTCGAACGTCTACTCGGAGCATTGGACAATAAAGATGACATAACTTTATTAGAACGCTGGTTCCTATTGGACGAAAATACTGTCCCACCACATTTTCACCTTCAGCCAATCACTGCCTTGCTTCCAGACTATCGTAACTATGGTGATAGGGAATTACGTAAGAAGGCATCGATTAAGTGGTGGGATAACTTTGAAAGAATGCAAATTGCGCTCAGAAAAGCCGCAGATCAAGTGTTCGAAAAGCAGGAAGATAAGCAAAAGTATTTTATGTCAGGTATGTCSTATTGAATAGAGCACATTTCTTTTATGATTGATCAACGACACGGTCCACGACACAGGCAACGCACTGGCCTGAGTGTAAGGCCCTATCGAAGGGGATTGGGGCKATAGCATGGAAGTTGTGAAWACTTCAGTCTCSAGATCGTATTTGTGCGGCCTTAACCTCGACAGCATGTAGTATATTATTTTGTTCAGCAGAGATCCTATTGTAATGCAAACACTCTGTGAACAAAGAAGACAATAACGATTTATTGCTTGATTGACGCTAAGCTTGCACAGAAGAGAATMGAAACTGGAATATTTTACAATGAAAATATCATTATACAATTGTACTTACATTTTGYACTTTGCTCACTTTTTAGTAACAGAAGACGAGATCCGAAGAGGCATCATCGAGATCAAAACACCAGAGAAACRTACACTTTGGTTCAAGCGAGTCTTTTCAAACCTTGARGAYCATGTTCATGACGTCACATCCGGAAAGTTCATCGACGTCATTTCCGGAGATCAGYCATCCGGTGAAATTGTGGTGAACAGCGAAKCACAACAGCTTCTTAAGAAGTTWCGAGAAAAAGATCTCAAAAGTTCTCTTCCTGTGGAAAGTATCGTCGAGTATGATGTGGGATGGCACTCAAATGGAATCAACATAAGTCTACCCGAGCATGCTCAGTACATCCAAAAGCTGTGCRATGACGTTTACAACAAGTTGACGTCATTGATTAGCGCCAGCATTGATGAGGAACAGCGGTATGGCGTCAGAGACCCTCTTCTCCAGGAAGTAATCCAACATTTGTCGTTTTGCCAGAAAAAATGCTTAGCATTTCACGGACGTGGARAATTCTTGGAATTCGTCAAAACGCAGTTGCTAGGAAACGGCAAGAATGTGGTTGTTATCTATGGGGAGTCTGGTTGTGGGAAGACGTCGCTGGTCGCCAAGGTGACCTCTAAAGTGAAGACATGGTTTGTACAACCGCTGACCATGGTTTGTAGGTTTMTTGGAACAACACCAGGTTCTTCGAGTATTCGCGCTCTTCTGAGAAGTGTATGCCTTCAGCTTGGAGCAGCTGGACTCACTGAAAATACACCACCGGAGGTACAAAAATGAAACTACTGCTTGTGAAAAGACCGTTCATACTGCTAAATGTTGTCTATGATTGTATTTAGGATCTTCAAGCGCTSATCGATTATTTCCCAGAATGCTTGAAAACAGCTTCTTCCAAATCAACKATTGTCCTGATTTTTGACTCGCTGGATCAGCTGTCCATTGAAGATGGCGGGCGCACACTGGATTGGTTGCCAAGTGATCTTCCTGMGAATGTTTACTTTGTGTTGTCAAGCYTACCAGGAGCGCAATATCAGTGCTTTCCAAGAMTCAAGGTGTGTGCCAACCTTTTTACAAAGAAAGCATGGTTTTTAGCACATTTTTTAGTGTTAACATTTTCAGGGATTCATACACACAATACACGGGTTGGAAAGTAAAATTGAGAACAGTTTTGATAATGTTATAATAATGATTTCATTAATCTCTAGGACATTTATCCTGAAGATTGTCTACTACAAGTACCATCACTGGCTGCTSAAGAATCCGCTGATATTCTTGACAGCTGGCTCAGGGGTGCTCAGCGCACTCTTAGAACAGAGCAAAGGAAYGAGGTGTTGACGTCATTCCAGGACTGCCCRCTGCCGTTGTATCTTAAGCTAGCTTTTGATGAATCTTGCCGATGGAAGTCATACACTCCATTCAAGGACTGGGACCTACCGCCGAACATACGGGACATCATAAGTTGTCTATTTGATCGTGTGGAGCGTATCCATGGCTACACCCTTGTCAGCCATGCTCTAGGTTTGTTGAGATCCAATCAAACAAGAAAATGTTTGATAGCTTTAACGTCAGCAAAATTTTGTTGTTGGTCAACTTGCTCATTGACGGCGTTAACTGCTGTTGCATTGAGCTACAATCATTGAAAAAATTGAACTACCGCCATTTTTGGAAGTCGTGCTTGTTTATAACACACATTGCATTGCTTTATAACACACATTGTCCATAACACACTGAGATTTGTGTGCTATTAGAATAGGCCTTTTCCATGAAACGGTCACATGGTACTAAATCCATCATACTGGATGGCAAAACTGGGATGTTCAAAACAAAGAAAAGTCAAGCTTGACGGGCTGCGTTCCTTTTGTTTTGGCTGTTTACATTCTATTGCCATCCAGTATGGCGGATTTAGTACCATGTGNCAAAGGAACGAGGTGTTGACGTCATTCCAGGACTGCCCACTGCCGTTGTATCTTAAGCTAGCTTTTGATGAATCTTGCCGATGGAAGTCATACACTCCATTCAAGGACTGGGACCTACCGCCGAACATACGGGACATCATAAGTTGTCTATTTGATCGTGTGGAGCGTATCCATGGCTACACCCTTGTCAGCCATGCTCTAGGTTTGTTGAGATCCAATCAAACAAGAAAATGTTTGATAGCTTTAACGTCAGCAAAATTTTGTTGTTGGTCAACTTGCTCATTGACGGCGTTAACTGCTGTTGCATTGAGCTACAATCATTGAAAAAATTGAACTACCGCCATTTTTGGAAGTCGTGCTTGTTTATAACACACATTGCATTGCTTTATAACACACATTGTCCATAACACACTGAGATTTGTGTGCTATTAGAATAGGCCTTTTCCATGAAACGGTCACATGGTACTAAATCCATCATACTGGATGGCAAAACTGGRATGTTCAAAACAAAGAAAAGTCAAGCTTGACGGGCTGCGTTCCTTTTGTTTTGGCTGTTTACATTCTATTGCCATCCAGTATGGCGGATTTAGTACCATGTGACCGTTTCATGCAAAAGGMCTATTATATGCCAGTCCTATTCTCGTTTTAGGCTATATTACAGCTTCCAARAATGGTCTGACAGAGGCAGAACTTGAAGATCTCCTCTCATTGGATGACGAGGTTTTGAATGACGTTTTCCAGTACTGGACTCCRCCTATCAGAAGGCTTCCTCCATTGCTATGGAAACGGATACGATATGACATCAAWGATTACTTGATTGATCGTGGCGCGGACGGTGCACGAGTGACGTATTGGTACCATCGACAGTTTATTGAAGTAGCTAGAGACAGGTRAACTTTTATCTAGAAATTCACAGAAATTCTATAGCTTCCATATGAGAACCTGAGCGATTTTCTTACATGCAAGAAGTCGCCATCTTTGATTTTTTTGTTTTGGGTTTAAAAACCAATCAGGACTATTTCTACACACATTTCTCTTTACTCCGACGAAGGATTAACGTCCGAMACGTCAGTATTAGTTTTTTACCTACTCTTTTACGGTGTTTAATTTATCTTTTAACACAACTGTTTCTTTTGAAACATCGACACAGCTCACACTAGTTTACCGCTATTTTCCACCATTTATTTCGACACAAAACAAACGATCGCCAAGATTCTTGGGTACACACGTGGCTCTTTAACTTTTTTCTTGCAACTATTCAATGATGCTTGGGTTTTCACAAGAGACGGTACTTCTTCTTCCTCTCTACGCAGCATTCATTTTACCTTTTGCACTGATATTTCTCACTGTAGGAAACACTGGTTTAATGTTATCATGTCTGCATGTATAGGTACTTGGGAAACAAGCAGCAAGCTAGAAAAATTCACTTAAAAATGGCCGAGTATTTCTTAGGAACCTGGAGTGAAGGGAATCCAAAACCATTCGTCGACAAGAACGGAGAACATAAGACTGAAAACCGTCTTGTTGCAAGCCAACCTCTGATGTTTGATAAAAGCGATGAAAACCCTACTTTTAACCTGCGAAAATTGAGCGAGCTCCCACAACACTTATTTCTCGCTGAGGACTACACAAGGATGAAAGATGAAGTTCTTTTTAATTTCGAATTTCTTCTTGCGCTTTTAAGGGCGACCTCGTTGGACAATGTTTTGGACAACTTCGAGATGTTCTTTAAGGTGCGAAGATTATGAACCTACATAGAGTTACATAGTTAATCATAGGCGATGAAGCAGTCGATCGTCTGGGTACTGGATATGTTCTGTCTGACTTAGCATAAAGGATTTCCGTGATTTAATTTCGGAAAGGCGAAGTCCTTTTGAAGTAAGGCAGTGTTGAAGGCCTATACGTGCATGTTGCTTTGTGTGGTCTTTTAGAAATACAAAAAATCACCATATTTGATTTTTAACAAGTTAGAAAGCAACTATCGTCAACAAATATGTCCTCTTATAGACACACTCTTGACGTCATAAGATGTTCAAAACTTTGCAGTAAACCCAATTTGCAGTAAAACTAGCTGGAATCATGGGGCCAAAAGTTTTGCACATTTTATAACGTCAAGAGTGTGTCGATAAGAGGTTATAAAACTCAAAACAATGAGCAATTTGTTAATTTTCCATGATTTGGAACTCTTGAAAACACTAAAAAAAACCTCGTCATAATTGTGATGTTGTCACTGATATATGTCAATATACCCACAAGGTATTTCCTCAAGACGCTGATACTGATATCCTACAAGATTGCCTAAGACTCTCTACTGTGGCCTTGTCAATTGAGCGCAAACAGCTCGCTACACAGATCATCGGGCGAATGATGGGCTTTCAAGAGAAGACCGAAGAATTCCCTTACATTTGCAAGGTTTTGAAAGAAGCATACAACTCTTCTGTTCCCTGTTTCATTCCAAATCAAAGCTGTTTGACTATTCCTGGTGGAATGGTCAGGTTTGCAATGCCTTTGGAAAGTTTAGGAGAATGTCGTCCAAGGTAAACATTATACCTGCTGGTCTAATATTTTCGTTCTTGTTCTTGTTTTGTTTGTTGTTTCTGTTGTTTGCAAAATTCCAAGGAACTCGTGCCAAATAACAATCTGGATGCGTTTGAAACAATTAAGAAACGATTTCCAAATAAAAAGAGCATTTTAGAATAAGCGTGGGATAGCGAGTGGGGAGCGTTTTGGCCTATAGTACGAACAATGACTTCATGAAAAACTAAAACAACTTTACTCATACTAATTGGTCACTAATTATACCCGTCTATATTCTCAATTAAAGCTATTCCCTAAGTATGGCTAAAGATGACAGGACCTTGATTCTGAGTTGGACAACAGCAAAATCTCTTGAGATCAGAATCATTGACCATGTTCTTGGAAAAGTTCTTCGAAAGTTCACCTTGACAAGTCCCAAATCACTGTT